TAGATAGATAGATAGATAGATAGATAGATAGATAGATAGATAGATAGATAGACAGACAGATAGATAGATAGATGTTGTAAGACATGAACAGTTAAGGAAATATTTATATACAAAACTTACATTTTCAGTGCAGGAAAGCGCTATAATTTCCTAAGATAACCTAGGGGCTTAGGATTTAGTTCAGGTGCAATTATGTTGCTATCTTAAAAGTTTTTTTAAAATTACTTTATCTTTACATATCTGTGTATCATGTTTATCTGTTTGTAAAAGTCTTGAGGACAGCATTTAAAATTTGTAGTGAAAAATTAGTAATATTGATAGCGAGAACATTGTTTGATGCAATGCTTTCCTAGCTTGTGACTTTGGCAAGTTACTTAACCACTTAAGTCATTCTTATTTGGAATGTGGACATAAAGATAGACTTTATAGTCGTGTAAATGAATAAGTGACATAAAGTGCCTAAAATAGTCCCTAACATGTGATAAAGCATTAGGTAAGTATGAGCGAGTGTTGTTATTTTTGTTATCATCTTCATAAGATTAGTGTATACCTTAGATAATATAACTAAATTTGGGCATTATTGATTGTTGTGATAATTTTTAGTGTTAATGAAAAGGTCTTTTGTTATATAAGTGATATTATTTTGTATAGTCACTTAAATAGTTTTTAAATGGAATAATTACGTTACAAATTTGTCATAATAACAACCTATTCTTGTAAAAGAATAGTTGATAAGTGTACATGTTTTATTTGATAATTGCAGTAATGGGTTTTATTGTACTCTTGGGATTATTTTCTTGGAACTGGACTCCATGGTGTGGTTAATTTGGTGTACATCTGTCAGAAATGGCTTATGGAAAAGATTCTTTTCTATGGAAGTAACACATAAGGCCTACCACCCGAGTTTCCTCTCCTGTCCAAAGAATGTGGGCCAGCTGCCTCCTCTGCTGTCCACTGCTGGTCCTGACTCACTGCTTCATTTTCCTGCAACATAAGTTCTTAATCTTCAGGTTTTTGGCAGGCCCCTCTTAGTGCATTTGGAGTTTCTGTTTAACAGCTTGAATGCATAGAATTAGGTTTAAAACAATTTATTTAGACTACATTAAAATCTTTCCTGTGATTTGTTTTTGTAGTTCCTACGTTTATTTTCAGTTCTTTAAAAATCCATGTTTTAAAAATTTGACAGGACCATACATGGAGAGGACCTAAAACCCCTGCTCAGATATAGCCCATAGACTCAGTCTCTAAGTGGATACCCTAGTAAGGGGAACAGAGGCTGTAATCTGGCATGAACTCAGTGGCCGTCTTTCTGATCACATCCGCCTAGGGGGTGCATCCTTGCCAGGCCACAGAGGAAGATGATGCAGCCAGCCCTGATGAGACCTGATAGGCCAGAGTCAGAGGGAAGGTGAAGAGGATCTCCCTTGTCAGTGGACTAGGGGAGGGGTATAGGAGGAAAGTAGGGAGGGAGGGAGGGAGGGAGGGAGGGAGGGAGGGAGGGAGGGAGGGAGGGAGGGAGGGA